ACTCTCCGTGTAAAAAAGCTGCCCTCATGCCTTTTTTAAATCTTCCTCCTCTCAACTTAAAAATATGCCCGCTTGTCTTGAAATCCCCCACTCTATGAAAAGACGCCTGCCATTCACCGTTTCTATATGCCTCATGATTTTATAAACCTCCATAAGGTCACCCTTCAATATCCTATGCTCCAGTGAAAGAAGTCCCAGCCTATCCAGTCCCTCTTTATAACTCAAACCCTCCATTCCTGGCAACATCCTGGTAAATATTTTCAGAACCCTTGCTGGTTTAATAATATCCTTCCTGTAACAGGGTGATCAGAACTGGACACAGTACTCCAGAAGATGCCTCACCAATGTCCTGCACAACCTCAACATGACTTCCCAACTCCTATACTCAAAGATCTGAGCAATGAAGGCAACCGTGCTAAATGCCTTCTTAAACAGCCAGTCTGTATGTGATGCAAACATCAAAGAATTAAGCACCTGAAACCCTAGATCTCTCTGTTCTACAACACTATCCAAGGCCCTACTTCTAATTTTTTTTTTATTATTCATTCACAGGATGAGGGCATTGCTGGCTGGGCCAGCATTAATTACCCATCCCTAATTGCCCAGAGGGCAGTTAAGAGTCAACCACATTGCTGTGGGTCTGGAGTCACATGTAGGCCAGACCAGGTAAGGATGGCAGTTTCCTTCCTAAAGGACATTAGTGAACCAGATGGGTTTTTCCAACCATCAGCAATGGATTCACGGTCACCATTAGACTCTTAATTCCAGATATTTATTGAATTCGATTTCCGTGGCAGGATTCAAACCCATATCCCCAGAACATTATCTAGGTCTCTGGATTAACAGTGCAGCAATAACACCACTAGGCCATCGCCGCCCTTACACTAATTGAGTAAGTCCTGCCTTTGTTTTATCAGAACAGTTGTGCTTTCTTAGGGCCACGTTTGAAGAATGATCACTGAAGACTACCTGATGCTTGTGCAACTGTAGGCCCAGAGACAGGCTTGCAAGGTGGAGCAGCAAATTAATTTTGAGCCATCACTCTGGGAAGGTAGGGCCATCCTCTTTAAGATATTGAAGTTTACTCTTCAATCTCTTGAATGAAGTGGAAGTTTCAGACTGAGTCTCAGCACCAGCAGCAACACAACAACAGTCTGCTTGACCACATTTTATTGGCTTCAACTAGTTCTCCAGTCTTTTGTCAGAGAAATATTTCTCATATCAGGTTGCTTTAAAAATTTGGAAGCCCTTTCTGGATTTTAGTCCCACAACCTCCCTTCAGCTACAACCATCTGTGATAAATTGTGGTCAAGATTATTTTCAGGCTAAGTGTTACTCAATATTTAGCATGTTACTATTGCAATCCAATCAATCAGGATTTAAAAGGGAATTAATGAACATTTAAAACAAGTTTGGAGTAGGGGGGAGGGATTCAGCTGTCATAGTGGTCCAAACAACATTGCTCAGACTAGAGAGAAGGTTCTGCAGAAGAATTTGAGTGGTTTGGAGCTAAATTAACAAGCAAAACTTCCAAGACTGGGCTGTAGAGCAAGGCCTGTAGAGACAACTTTAAACTAATTGGAAGGGAGGGGGTTAGGAAATAAAAGCTTACAAAGCAAAACGATATGGCAGCATTGAAAAGCAAAGTAACACTGCACTGAGTTGACTGGAAGGAACAGAGTGTTCAAGCATAGAAAAACAACAGCAAATCAGGTCAACAGGGAAAATAAATGGTGAAAAGGCATAATTAAAACCTCTTTAGTTAAATCGCATAGTATTCAGAACAAAATAAATTAATTAAGGTCACAACCAGAGCTCAATGAAGATGAACTTATAGCCAAAATGGTGGCAAAATGTTGACAAGATGATCATAGCTGAGAGCTAAATATTCTTTTGAAAGGATGGGCAGGAAGGAAAGGGTGGTGGGGTGGCATTGTTGGTACGGGATGAAGCATGCACAGTTGCAAAAAATGATCTTGGATTGGAAAATGTGGAATCCATGTGGGTGGAAGTAAGAAATAAACAGGGAAAGAACACACTAGTGAGAGTTGTCTATAGACTCCCCAACAGTACAGCTGTACAGTGAGACTAAGAATAAATCAGGAGACAATGAGGACATATAAGGAAGGCAGTATACTAATCATGAGTGTCTTTAATCTTTAGCTAGATTGAGAAAGTCAAATTGGCAGAGGTAATCACAAGGAAGCATCCAATTGACGATCAGGCTATTTTGGATCTGGTCAGGTGTAATGAGGCGGGGTTAAGAAATGATTTCAGAATAAAATACCCCCTAGGGAACAGTGACCATACTATGGTAGAATTCGGCATTCAGTACATTTTATAGAGTGAATTCCATGATTTTCACCATCAACAGATAAGAAGCAGCAACATAAATCCTGGTCAGGACGGTATGTCACTTAGAGGGTATCTTGCTGGTGGTGTCCCCATGCATTAGCTGTCCCTATTCTGATTGATAGTACAGTTATACAATTGTATGGTATTGTTAAAGAAGCCTTCCAGTATGTTGTAAACACTGAAGCCACCCTGTGATGGCAGGAATGAATGTTTAAGGTGCTGGATGGCATACCATGCAAGTGGACTGCTCTGATCTGGATGGTGTTGTTGGAGCTGCATTCAGCAGGCAAGTCAAAAGTATTCCAGTACACTCTTAACTTGTGCCTTGTAAATGATGGAAAACATTTGGGGAATCCAGAGGTGAATAATCACCATTGATTTTCGACCTTCCAATCTTCTCTTGAAGCTGCTATGTAATGTGACTTCAGAATTAAGCCTCTGGTCAAGATTAATATCTTGCATTGATGGATAATTCAATGCCAACAATGCCATTTTGTTTTAATTCTTTCATTAGATATGGGTGTAACTGGCAAGAGAAACTTTTTATTGCCTGTTCCTTAAGGTGCAGATGGTGCACCTTTTTGAATCACTGCAGTCCCTGAGTTCCAGGATTGCAACCCAGCAACAGTGAAGGGCCAGTGATAAGGACTAGGGATATAATTCCAAGTCAGTGTGGCTTAGCAGGGAACTAACATGTGGTGGTACTCCTGATTAACTCTTGCAGTGGGATCCTGAAAGCATCCCAAGAGGCAGTCAGGAGAGACATTGTGTAAAGACACCTAGCGAAAATTTGATTGATATGAAAAGAAGCAGGGCGATTGGGTGCCAGGGTTTATATTTGCAGAATGGTAGGATTAACGACTTGGTTTTTCTAATTCCATGTTGCTACAGGCACAAATCTGAACAGTCAACCATGACCAGATGCACATGAACACAGGTACTTCATTCAACTCACTGAACCTGTCTAACAGATTAGAAACTGAAATTTAACAGTGTCAGTATAGTGACCGCTTTGAACTGGGGAGGGGTGCTGAACCTCTCAAGGAGTTTTTTGAAGAGGTGACAAAGGTGGTGGACATATGGACTTCCAGAAGGCTTCTGATAAAGTCACACACAAGAGGCTGTTAGCCCAAGGAACTGACAGCAAATTACTGATATGGAAAGGAAACTGGGTGGGTGGCAGGAAAGAGAGTTGGAATAATGGTTAAATACTCAAACTGATAGGATGTAATTAATGGTGTCCTGCAGGGATCTGTGCTGGAGCCTCAATTATTCACAACATTCATTAACGACTTGGGATAATGGCATGAAAAATTAAATATCTAAGTTTGCTGATGACACAAATTTGGGCAGCATAATAGGCAATGTTGGCAACAGGACGTTGATAAACTAGGTGAATAGGCAAAGCTGTGGCAAATGGACTTTAATATAAGCAAGTGCAAGCTTATCCATTTTGAGTCAGAAAAGGATAGATCAGGGTAATTTTTAGAAGGCACTAAGTAAAATACTGTGGACGTCCAATGAAATTTGGGGTTCAAGTGTACAGCTCTTTAAAATGCTGCAAACAGGTACAGAAGAAGGCTAATGGAACTCTGGCCTTCATATCTAAAGGGTTGCAATATAAGATGCAGAAGTTATGCCGCAGTTATGCAAAACCCTAGTCGGATTCTACTTAGAGTACTGTGAGCAGATCTGGGCACTACACTGTAGGAAGGATGTTTTGTCCCTGGAAGGAGTTCAACGTAGGTTACAAGAATGATACCTGGACTTCAGGAGTTAAGTTATGAGGAGAGATTAGACAAATAAGGTCTTTATTCTCAAGAACATACAAGATTAACAGGTAATCCAATCAAGATCTTTAGGATAACAAGGAACGAAAGGTAGATAAAGATACATTTTTCCACTGGTTGAAGATTCTAGTACCAAGGGCATAGTGTAAGAATTAGGGCCAGGCAATTCAAGAGAGACGTTAGAAAGCACTTCTATTCACAAAGAGAAGTGGAGATTTAGAACTCTTCCTCACATGGCAATCAATGCTAATTCAATTGTTAAATTTAAATTTGAGATAGACAATTTTTTATTAAGCAAGGTTATCAAGGGATATGAATCCAAGTTAGACATATTGAATTAGGCCACAGATCAGCCATGACCTTATTGAATGGTGGTGCAGGCCCAAGGGGCTAAATGGCCTACTTCTGTTCCTAACACCTTGGCAATCAACATCAAACAGTGGAAACAGCAATCCAAACCCAAATCCCATTCCAAGACTCAGCTGGAAGTAATTCCTGTAAAAATTTCACCACGAACCAAAACTTAAGAACAACATTCTCAATTCCAAAATCTCTAAAAGGATATAAAATAAAATGAAATATTTCTTATTTGAAAATTAGTAATTCTAGAATATAATAATCTAGGAATAATCATCTTGCATTACACATTAGGTTACCAGTGTGTGAATGTTTTGACCTCCTATGAATGATTTCAAATATGACTGGAACTAATTTGAGATAAGTTGTTAATTATTGGTGATGGTTGGGGGAAGGCTTTGCCAAAAGGAAGAAAAATGAAGACAATTTTTTACAAATCTGATTGTTATTAGTGTGACACAAGCACTTGAACATGAAAAATTAATCAGCAAAGCCTAGAAAGATCAAGTGTAGCAATCTCAAGTCTTCCTTACCTCCTTTGCTTTCTGTTTTAGTCTTGCATGTTCAGGGTCTTCTTGCCTGGAGCGACTCTAAGCAGTTAAGGAGAGAAAGATGAAAAAAGCATATATACATAGGATTTAACAGCTGGTTTTAAAACAAGTGATGCATCTGTCACAGTAAGCAAAACCTAGCAAAAACAAGCAAACAGAAAAATACAAGGCATCAAGGGCACTGGGACACACACAAATGCAAATTAAAGCCTGCTAGTTCTCCAAGTACATCAAAATAGCACTGGAGAAAAATAATAACTTCTTCATTCTTTCATTTACCTTCTAGATTTTAGTATTCTTCAAATATGAAAGTCAAGGATATAATCCAATCTAAATAAAATACAATGCTGTTAGACAGGGTTGTGTCTAACACATAAACCCAACTTTCAAAGCATGGCAGCAACAGCAGGCTGTGCATGAGGTGGCAGCAGCCTCTCAGCAGTCGGAAACGGTAGCAGTCCCAGCAAGGACATCCTCATTCGGGGCCGCCAGCGGCAAAACTCCTTCAGTGATTGGAAGCAGTGGCAGGGAGTTCTTCAAGATGGTGGCGCTGGTGAGGCAACATCGTGGAGGAGGGCGGCCAGCACGGGACTCTTGGCTGCATCAGAAGCAGAGCTGAAGGAACCTGAACCAATGCAAAAATGCACTGGCATATGTCCTTAGACTCAGAGGGGCAGGGATGTAGTGATTGTAATGAGGTCAGTCAGGTGGACCTCATAGAATATGAGTTCCCTGATTCCCTAACGTAGTCCAATCAGGGAGCCCCAGCTGACAGACAGAAACAGGGCTGTCAGACATCCTGTTCACTCTGAGAGTTGGCTCTGAGGGAGCTGGATCAGTGTCAAGGACTCTCCATGTGTAAATAAAGGGGGACTTGGTGATGGGATACCGGCCTAACTGGAGTTATTTCACTCTCTCTTTTGGTTATATCTTTTTACTCTTTTTATTCTTAAACTATTCAAAATGGTGCTGGATTGTGGCAACAGCTGAAGCTTTTCAATGTATTTTGCTGTATTATTCACTGTAAAATGCAAGTGGCAATATATCATTCAAATCATTCAAACATTAAACATTAACAAAGTACTGGAAATATTCAGTTCTGGCAGCATTTGTAGGGAGAAAAACAGAGTTAACGATTCATATATTCACTCTGTTTCGTTATCCACAGACACAGCCAGAAATGTTGAATATGTCCAATAGCTTCTGGTTTATCTTACATGTCTATTATTGTCAATATTTTATTTTCATTTTTTTGCTTCCATCTGCCCTTGTCCAAGATCCTGAAGTGACAGATTACCTACTATATAGCAGCGCCAAGAGACAGCACAGGGTTCCTTCACCCCAAAAAATCCTTTGTTGATGCAAAAGTTCAGGTATCAAGAATGTAGATGTAACTGCAGTATCTCTGCTGTTACTGCCACTAGACTGGAGTTTGGTACTTGTTAATGCAGATGGGTATGAAGATTCAAACCTACTTGTGTTACCAATTTAGTTTTGTAAAGGTTAAGGTATGTTATAGAATCACCATATTATAAATAATTTAAGATCACTTCAATTGGTTAAAAAACATACCGGACCAGTGTGGCCAGAATGCAAATAGTGCTTCGTTATTAATATTTCTGTAATAACCCAGGAAAATACAGTAAGTATATTGCTCACGAGAATGGGATTAATTTTCTGCAAAGTAAAACAATATCAGAAATGCTGGAAAGATCACTGCCACGCCATCTAAGTGAGTTTCCAGTCCTGGCATCAAAGTCCTCCCAAGGATTGATCTTTGTGTTTTAGCCCTATTCTCTCCAAATTTATGAAAACTCACGTTTAGACTGATGTCAACTGAAAATTTGGTTTCATCACTGATTACTCTGTACCTTTGCTGCTTTTAATAGAATTTCTCTCTCTTGATCATCCTTCCGTTGTTTTTCAAGTCGCTCCAGATGTTCAAAGAATTTCAGTTGCGTCCGAACATCTGTTGCTTGTTCGTACCATTCGTGGTCCTGGAGATCATTTAGAGAAGAAAACTACATTAAAAATTGTCTTGTACTTCCAATAAACAAATTTTTTCCAGCACATTCACCAGCTCCAACTTAATTACAAGCAGTGAAGATCAAGCAATGTGTGAATGCAAAAGATTAACCAACATTCGCAGACCTAACCATCATTTGATACTGCAAGCAGCAACCATTTGGATCAACAATAACTTGTATTTACATTTTTAAAAATCAAGACAAGGGAAACAGGGTCTAACAGAGAAAGTAAAAGGTCTTTATTCCAACTTGGAGCTTTGTTCAGGAAGTTAATTTTATAAGGTTTCTAAAGAAGTTGAACTATAACCTGGTGTCGTCTGATTTCCGACTTTGTCCACCCCAGTCCAACACCGGGACCTCCATATCATAAAAAAGATAGAGCAGAAGATTCTCTCATCAATTGTAAGGTAAAAGGTTGGCAATGGTCAAAGCTCATAGGCAGAGTGAAGGAGAATTTAAGGAAGAACATAGGGTTGTACACAATTGCAGAAATTTGGGAGTGCAAGAACATGGAGACACATATCAGACACATATTCCCCTCCCCTCCCTTGTTTGCCTTCCGCAGGGACCGCTCCCTCCGGGACACCCTGGTCCACACTTCCTTCACCCCTAATACCTGTCCACAGCCCTACGGCACCTTCCCCTGTAACCGGCGAAGGTGCAACACCAGCGCATTTACCTCCTCCCTCCCCAGTATCCAAGGGCTCAAACATACCTTCCAGGTGAAGCAACACTTCACCTGCACTTCCAAGAATCTAGTCTACTGCATTCGCTGCTCACAATGTGGTCTCCTCTACATTGGGGAAACGAAGCGTAGACTTGGCGACCGCTTCGCAGAAAATCTGCATTCTGCTCGCAAAAAAGACCCTGAACTACCTGTTGCCTGCCACTTCAATGCACCACCTTGCTCCCTGGCCAACATCTCTGTCTCTGGCTTGCTATAGTGTTCCAGTGAAGCCCAGCGCAAGCTGGAGGAACAACACCTCATTTTCCACTTGGGGACCCTACAGCCCTCCAATAATTTTAGGGCCTAAACTCTCCCATGTCCCAGCCCCCACCCCACACACCAGGCCTTGTTACCACATAGCCTGCCACTACACACCCCCTGTTGTTAGTCACTAACAGTCCCCATTAACAACTATTCACCCTCCCAGCCTGATCATTGGCAACTCCTTTGTCTGTCCAACTGTCTCTCTCTCTCTTTGGGCTCTATCCTATCGTTTACTCCCTACCCCACCCACCTCCCTATTTTCTATAAGAACATAAGAACTAGGAGCAGGAGTAGGCCGTCTGGCCCTTCGAGCCTGCTCCGCCATTCAATAGGATCATGGCTGATCCTTTCGTGGACTCAGATCCACTTACCCGCGTTCTCACCATATCCCTTAATTCCTTTATTGTTCAAAAAAAATCTACCTTTTTTTTAAAAGCGTTTACTGAAGTAGCATCAACTAGTTCACTGGGCAAGGAATTCCATAGATTAACAACCCTCTGGGTGAAGAAATTCCTTCTCACTTCAGTCCTAAATCTGCTCCCTCTAATCTTGAGGCTATGCCCTCTTGTCCTAGCTTCACCTGCCAGTGGAAACATCCTCTCTACTTCTATCTTATCTATTCCCTTCATAATTTTATGTTTCTATAAGATCCCCCCTCAATCTTCTGAATTCCAATGAATATAATCCCAATCTACTCAGTCTCTCCTCATAAGCCAACCCCCTCAACTCCGGAATCAACCTCGTGAACCTCCATTGCACCCCCTCCAGTGCCAGTACATCCTTTCTCAAGTAAGGAGACCAAAACTGCACACAGTACTCCAGGTGTGGCCTCGCCAGTGCCTTGTACAGCTGCAACATAACCTCTCTGCTTTTAATCTCAATCCCTTTAGCAATGAAGGACAAAATTCCATTTGCCTTCCTAATTACTTGTTGTACCTGCAGACCTACCTTCTGTGATTCATGCACAAGGACACCCAGGTCCCTCTGCATATAAACTGACATTTTCCCAGCCACCATCAGTTCTGAGGAAGGGTCACCGGACCCGAAACGTTAACTCTGTTTTCTCCTCCACAGATGCTGCCAGACCTGCTGAGCTTTTCCAGCAACTTTGTTTTTGTTCCTGATTTACAGCATCTGCAGTTCTTTTGGTTTTTATTAAGAATATGGAGGGATTTGAAGACAAAGTTTTAAATTTAGAAGACAGTGAGTCAGTGTAGGTCTGCAAGAATAGGAGTGAAAATGGAATTGGAATTAGTGCATTACAGAATATGGGCAGACTTTTGAATACGTTTGTGGAAATGGTGCACAGGTTAACAAAGAGGAAAGGTGCATTTATAACACTGCTCATGACCTCATTATCATACAAATCTTTGTAAAAAATAAAGATTTTTTTTGTTCACTCATTGGACGTGGGCATCATTGGTTGGCCATCATTTAAGCACTTCCCGAGCTGCCTTGAGAAAGTGGCAGTGAGGTACCTTCTTGAATTACTGCAGTCCATGTGCTATAGTGACCCACAATGCCCTTAGGGAGCAAATTCCAGGATTTTGACCCAGTGACAGCGAAGAAATAGTGGTATATTTCCGAGTCAGGATGGTGAGCGGCTTAGAGGGGAACTTGCAGGTACTGTGTTGCCACGTATCTGCTGGCTTCATCCTTCTATATAGAAGCAGACGTGGGTTTGGAATAATTTAGAACAGCCAATGACTTCAATTCTGAATACTGTAGAAGGATAACAGACTAACCACATCTCAGCACTGCGTCAGACCATCACTCCTCAAAAGTTATGCTTCCCTTCCCAGACCACCACATTTTTTGAGAATAATGTAGAGATCAGGACAAACTGAGATAATACTGTCGAGTGTCCTGCCTGACTACATCTGCTGCTTAGAACCTTCAGACTTAACACCTCACCAGCCTTCCAACTGGAACCCTCCAAATCTCTGCACCAAAATCACATATGTCCCCAGTCACCCATCAATCTATGTGCAGTGACCTGAATTGGCTCCTTCTCTGGTACAGGTTCTACTTTAAATTAGTTAACCTTATTTTCAAATTCTTCCATTCTCTACCCTCCTCCAATTTTGGTCTCTTCTGCATCCCTGATTTTCAGTATTCAACCACCATGGTAGTCATGATTTCAGCTATCTAGGCACAAAGCTCTGAATTTCCCTCCCAGGAAAGATGATGTGGTTATTTATTTCATGACCATTTGCTGGAGTTGGCATTGCATAATTAGAACATTGATTACAATTGAAAAATACTTCCATCAAGGGCCATTTGGGATCCTTGCAGTGCAGGAAAGGTGTTGTAGGAATGCAAATGTTTTATTTTTCTTTATTAATTGAATTATTATATTGTATCTGGAGCAGAGAAACAGAATATTCATTGCCGTGAATGGTGTTCATTTACTATGTAGAACATAGAACATTACAGCGCAGTACAGGCCCTTCGGCCCTCGATGTTGCGCCGACCTGTGAAACCAATCTGAAGCCTATCTAACCCACACTATTCCATTATCATCTATATGTTTATACAATGACCATTTAAATGCCCTTAAAGTTGGCGAGTCTACTACTTTTGCAGGCAGGGCATTCCACACCCTTACTACTCTCTGAGTAAAGAACCTACCTCTGACATCTGTCCTATAGCTATCACCCCTCAATTTAAAGCTATGTCCCCTCGTGCTAGCCATCACCATCCGAGGAAAAAGGCTCCCACTGTCCACCCTATCTAATCCTCTGATCATCTTGTATGTCTCTATCAAGTCACCTCTTAACCTGCTTCTCTCTAACGAAAACAACCTCAAGACCCTCAGCCTTTCCTCATAAGACCTTCCCTCCATACCAGGCAACATCCTGGTAAATCTCCT